AACTTTCTGTGGTAAGCTTGTCGATGAAGCAAATACTTTGTAAAAGGAAACTAACTGATGTAGTCGATTGTTAGAACAAGTACAACTTTCCATCATCTATAATCTTATCACAGAAAGGAATATAGAAAAGTCCTGTCCTTTCCTAAAATTCACTTCTGCTCTCTGACACAAGGGCACTCGTGGCAGTGTGGCGTAGAGGTAAACATGGCAAGACACTACGCTGCAATACCACAACTCGTGTTCGAGTACCGTGCGGGGTAATGAGGACACATACCCGAGGTCGAGATTGCAGTCCAGTCTGTAGAAAAATACTTGTTGGGAAGTAAGACTCTGTGAAATTTAATATAACCATGAAGCCTACTCACATTGCTATGGGAAAATTGAGCTACCAGTCCTTCATTATATTAAACTAAGTAGGCTGAATGTCTATCCTATATGTGACCTAATGTCAGTCTCGAAAACCTACTTCCAAAACTAAAATACCTGTTTTAAGACTTGGTTAAGTCTTGAATATGATCCGTTCATGAGGAATTTAAGAATAAATTTGGGTTTCTCAATCAATCAGTGATGATGGAATTTTTGACTCCGATGAGGTGAGAACTCTTGAAGTAGGGGCTCAACAGCAAGGAAGTAACATCGTGGGCAAAAAAGTCCGTATGTTACAAGTACCGAGGATACCTTCCCTGGGTGTAGACCGTAATATATTCTGTATAAGATTATACGATACAATTTAATGAAAATTATAGCTAGCAAACAAATTGCTAGTGAATTACCTACCATTTGTCTTTTTTAATTAGAACTGGACTTGGTGATCTGACTACATTAATGTGCATAGAATTTTTAACTAAGAGTTCAAAGTAATAAAAGACTGGTGTCGCCATGGGCAACAGTCGGCGACATGGCAGAGGTGAATTTTAAGGCAAGTTGGGCTGCCTTCATACCACATTTTTATCATGGGATTACCACTGAAGCAATCCAGTATTTGCCATTTTAGTCGAGAATGTTACTTATAATCGTTTAAGTAGTATTTTAAGACTGACAGTCAATCTAGGATAGTCGATTTGGCCATCCCATGCTTCATAAGGTGATAAGGGATATCTACTGATGGTCTCAAAATTCTGAGACCTACTCATGGGATATTGGAGAAATTGACTATCACTCCTCCATTACTTAAAGCGATCTATGGTGATCAAATCTTTTTTGATAGTCTTTAAATACTACACAAATCCATAATAAAAACTTTAATCACTTTAGGCCGCTGATTGATGAATTCTCCTGTTGGATAGGCCTAAGGATTCAATTGAATTTTACTGACGCCAATTTGCCCTTCAGTACCAATGCGATCAAAGTTGTTATTTAAATATTGCTGATGGTTTTGTAACATACTCGCATAAGAAATACTCGTATCTGTCTATAATTATGTTATAATTTTGTCTATAACTGCTGAATTATCCTGTCTTTTAGGGCAATTCTGATGGCATTTGTATTAGGATTGAAAACCCCATTTCTTCTCGCTTGCTTACCACCAATGTCGGAATATTGCCATAGGCCGTATGACATTATAAAGCAATTCAAATTATTTGAGGGTAGGGGCTTGATTGTGTCATTTGCCTTCATTAATCTTTGCATAAAAATAGCTCCGTCACTCAAGTTTCTCCAAAGTACGAACAATACACCCGATCTACAACCTCATTTAGGGCCTACCTGAAATTAGCTTTAGTGAATTTAGTGTTAAAATGCCCTTTATAGGCAGATAAGGTCTATGCCAGCCCACATATATGACGGTGATAAGCCTACAAGACAGAGCATATTTGTCTTTTAACCAACCACTTCAAAAAGTGATGAAAGACAGATAGTTGAATTTGCTACACTAAAATGACTAGGTTTTACGTTTCCATTTAATTTCGCATAAGCTTACTTTCTATCCTGTTGAGAAGCAAAGTCATGTGCAATTCAATGGCCTATTCATATAGTTTCGGAAAAATTCAACCAATTGTATGTGACCTAGAATAACCTAGGATCTATTGATAGTCTCGAAAACCTACTTTGTCTTAATAGCGAATTGTGCTTGCTGTCTAGCTCAATATATTTACTTTAGTGCTAAAGGGTTCATGGTCAAGGTTACAAACAGATCTTGATTTCAGAGAAAACATACAAAGCTTTTTGAACTGTAAGAACCTATTCATTCTAGGCATTTAAGAATCATTCACCCCAAAAAGTGGGACTAGAATCTGGTACGTGAACAATATTGTGACACGTCCCCACCCTGTTATGTAGCCACGGGTGGCAGTGGGTTATTCGGCAGATGCGACCTGACCTCTTTCTACTCATTTCAATATGGGAGAATTCCATTATCGATCTTTAAACCTACTTAGGCACCAATTGGGCTAAGAGTTAATTCGAGTAGTACTCATAATTGTGAAACATACCCAATAAAAAATTGATATGTGTTTAATCGAAGATATGAAGACCAAGCTGGACGCAAGATATGATTAAAGCGTGCATTTTAGCTTGCATTTTGCTTACTTGCTATTCTAATAACATGAGTAACTTTTCATATTTCTTCAGGTTGTGGATGAAATGGTGGCTTATGAGTCGCATGCCCAGGCTCCTTTCATGCACACCTGGTACGATGACATTGAAAACGTGGAGCGTATCTACATGCCAGCACCTTCGTTTGGAGCCGACACTAACACCACAATGAACTTTTCTGGCCTAATTCTCTTCACCGACGCCAACTTTACTCAGGTCAACTTTTATCGTACGTTTAACTCGATCAACTAACAGACTGATCTTTTTGTTAAGACGTCTTAAGACTCAATATAAGTCGATAGACACAATTTTCACACATTTTTTATTGTAGGAAAAGTCCACTTTCAGTCGGTAAATCACCTTAAATGATCTAGGCTGATCAAAACTCGTATTTAAGAATAAATGATGATATAGGAGAATACCCTTATTGAATAAAAGTCACTATCGTATTGAAAGTGAGTCGGCTTCCTTTGTTGTTGTAGCCAAGCTCACTGAAACTTGTTCATGCATAATCATGTTAGTCGTCACTTAGTCCTGGCACACTGGAATCCAGGAGGTGATAGGATGCATAGTATTGTAGCATAGTGTTAGAGGCTAATAGCGACTGTATCAACGATTCCTTGCAGAGCAGGCAGCCAAAAGATCGTTTACGTTCTCTCCGTACTGCAATTTGAACATCACCCCGAACGACCCAGACCTGATAAAATTGAATGCAGAGGCCATAAATTTGCTGCATAAACCCTAAGAAACGAACTCTGCAGAAGTATTTAGCTCACTTCCATTTCTAGCCAAAGTTTGTGATGAAGGGATTCAAAGTTAACTTGATATTTGTTTCATGAATGGTACCCTGCTCAGATTATGTCCGCTACATTGCTAATGAAATCTTATCACACTTTCAACAGAATTACACAGGTTTTTCGTTAAGAAAGTACCAACAAAGGTCAACTCACAGCTGGTCGTTTTCTGGTGGGATCGACCTACCAGAATATTTTCATCACGCACTTTGATTCGAAATGGAAGTGGGGCTCAACGATTCTATGTCAAGAGATTCTTTGAAGCCCTACTTTTCTTCACATATAATCCCTAGAATTCCACGATGGGCATTGCCCTAAGAGCAATGCCGCCTCTTAATAATCACATGTTTGGTGGGAGGTGGGTTTTTCGTATCAATAGGCAAGTGTTTATATGCCATTGAAGTATTATAAATCCTTATTTATTCAAAACAGTCAGGAATCTGCATTTTGCCAAGATTCAGAAACAGGGATTACATTAGACAGCGTGGATAAAGTTAAGTAGCATAACTTAGATGATAAAAAAGATTATATCTATCATTTTTAATTTTGATTGAATTTCACTTTTAGCCTACATAGACTGCCTAAGTTGGACAAACCTGATGGCCCGACTCCATAGCAGTCAATAAAAGTATATTCTGACAGCCTCTCATCTTTTTTCTGTCTTCGCTTCAATGTTCGGATGTCCATCATGAGAATAAACTTTTTAGAAGAGGTGAAGATGTGTGCATGATTGAGGTGGCCACCTATATAGTTTATTTCGTTTTGAAAGGCGAATTAAGAGTCTAGGACGGTGATTGTCTAATTGTT